CAGGGTGGCGGATATTACTTAAGGACTGCCACCTTCGCACATGAATAAAGCCTTATTTCTCAGACAGAAAAAAGTCGTCTTTCCCGTGACCGTCACAAATTTACACAGTTTGTTACATAACAATGTAATGTTTGAATATTTTGAACATTTGACAACATGTTTATGATTGTGTATAGTACGAGAATATCTATTGAAGGAGATCGAAGACGTTATCCTCGTAAAACTGTAAGCGATGCATGAACTAAATTTAATATCAGACGTAGTAGCAACATCGAAGTATCCTGAAGGGAATATGTTCAGACACGCCGAAATTCGGCTCTATAATTGAAGTTTCCCTCGCTGAAAGGGGTCTGGGATAAGCCGACGAGAAAGTAGGACTTAATGGGCGCACAACAGTCTAGACCGGGATTAAGCCACGCCAACACTAATCTAAGTAATCAAACACGGCCCGTGTTGTTGGCCCAAAGTTGGCACATTTCGACTCGCCGCAGACAAGGTGAGGCTGGCGTTTAAGATGTTTGCACAGATGGCATCTTATTCCAACGAAATCAAACCTAAATTCAAGCAAGATAAAAACACACGTTTTTGGGGAAATATAAGACGACCCGTTAGGCCCGGTACTGAACCTGCCCATTGTGGCAGGGGGTGTGGCTTCGATCCCCATTCCATAGTTTGTGACATATTGCAAAAACCAGTCTCTAACATTGGTCCACACACCGATCATTATTCTTACAGACACCCACCGATTTGTCTGAATAATAAGCCAAGAGTACTTTCTTTACAAGAGATTAAGAATCATAAAAGTCAATTTTGTTTTAGGGACTTAAAACTTTGGCTTCAGTAATACTTTTATAGTCCAGTAACACTGACAGACAATTGAAGTAACACAAATTTTTACTATATCGTTTACTCGTATTGAGAGTAGTATCATGACTCACAATTCATTTAAAAATGTCGTGTTTTTTTACTACCTACCTATTAACTCATATCTATTTATTAAATATTTTATCTCTATTAACATATCATACGCTTGACGAGTTTGTGGTGCAGTTGCCAAGGTATTGACTTCGGCTCCGGGGGCAGGACCCCCGGTTAGATTTCCAGACGGAAAAACTATTTGTGTGACCCACACAATTAGTTGTTTCGCATTTGGGTCTTTGTCGAGGCAAAATTTATGTTTGTTAAACGCCCTTATAATATAGAATAATCTGAAAACAAAGTCGTCCCGCTGTCTGTCTCTCCCTATTTATGCTTAGATCTTTAAAAATACGCAACGGATCTTGATAAAGAGGAAGGTATAACATATTATACAGGTGCATTATACATATAATCAAAAGCCGGGGACGGGTAGCTAGTGTACCTATAAAATGATAACTTTAAAAACAGATTCAGTAAATTAATTCCCTTTTTGAAACTGATTTTATAGAAAAAAAAATGGGAAACGTATACGTAACAAAATGAAACAGTGTATACAACACAAATTTATATCGTATGTACAGTAAAGACACTCTGAGCACAGTGAGGCTTTATCAGAGTAACGAAGGTCCATCGATCGGGGACGCTCCTAGCGGACACTTCAATCCCGTGGATCATTCACAAATGGAATCCACTGATTGAGCCGTTCCCGGCTCAGGCCTGCCCCGGCAAATGTTGATACGCGCTTGATACGTCCAGATAGTTCCAGGCGTAATGTATATTGGGGCCGCGTGGAAGCCGTTTCTATTTATTGAACCGTTAGATGTACGCCTCGTGTGAAAATATATGTCAACGTTGTTTGACAAGAATATAGTTATTCTGTCGTGGTTTGTTCACAGTTATATTCATGCACACACTGTTCCTCAGAAATGGGACTCGCGGTTTAGGGTCACTGCTTCAAATCCGGGTGATGTATTTAAGATTCAAGACGAAGATATTATTAGCGTTGGAGAAATATTGAGCTTTTTAAAGTCATACTTGTTTTGGCGAATATATAAAAAATGCGCACGCACACCGACCCGCAAGCGACATGATGCAGTATGCTAAAGAAGTATAACTTCATACATGCTTACATAATTAGTACCTGGAGGACCGAGCTTTGCTCAGTTTCTTTTTTTTTGGTAAATAATATGTTTTGGAAATAAAAAAATAAAAAATAAAGAAAATGATCTGGTATAGAAAAAAAAAGTGTGTAAATGATCGTGATACGAACCGCGGCCGTCTGTTTTGGGGCCGCCCGATTACCGACCGAGCTATTATAACATTTTTTTTGCGGCGAAATTAACCGTCACATTCGAATGATATTTTTCATTCCCTGAAAACAGGGATAAAAGGACATTTTCTAAGAATGAAACGTAGCTAGATCGATTTTTCGCCCGCGAATCTACGCACATACTAAATTTCATGAAAATCGCTGGAGTATATATATACACATACACTTCATAAGATACATACACTTCTCTTTAGTCTCTAGGTGTTTATATAAACATTAAAATTAATAATGATAATAAAAATTTCAGTAAATACTTTTACGCAACGTCATCTAATCTCAAACCCAGTAAAGCTTATATGGGTACTAGGTATGTAATGTACATACTTTTCTTTTTTTAAAAAATGCATATTATAAACCTGCAAACATCCAGATCCCAGTAAAGCACTAAACTAAACACTTAACATAATATTTTCTAGTAGTAGATAAAAAACTCTGGCGCAAGTCACACGTTCACAATCCATTACATCAATCGCATAGTCATGTCTATAACGTGTGTTTATATACTAAAGAAGTATGCTCAAGCACGTTTATTACTCTCCCATATTAAACAAAACTTACTCAGTTTGGGACCGACTGTATTACGTAGTGTAAAAAATTGTAAACAAAATATTTAACTTATAAGAAAAAAAATAAACGACGATTACAGTGTCAATGTATGGTACATTCTCGGATTGTACTCACGCACTAGATGGTCCACAAAAAAAAACTCATAACCCACAGGGTCAGACACTAAATAAGACACGAGCGCCGACCAATACCTCGCTTCAGAAAACAAATACTAGTAAAAGTCGGGTGCGTTAAGGCCTACAATAAAACGGGATTAGGCGCTTGTTAAGGAAAGTAACGCAATTACGCCGACCCTAGTCCTTAAGACTTAACGTTTGTTCCTAGGGTGGTTTGAGAGATCCCAGGGAAGCAATGAATGAATGTTGCCCAAATTGCTTCAGATAGAGAAATGGGAATACATGATTATTGGAGATAAGCGACCATCCTTATTAGACAAATTACAAAACATTCAGACGCTTGGAAATGGATTAAAGCATGATTTTGTTTTTATAACACAAGTCAAAGCTTAATGTCAGAATTTACATATATTTGTAGGTCTAAAAATGTTTCAAGTACAAGAATTACTACTGTGGTAGGGCCGAGCAAGTATTCGCTGTTGCACAAATGGGCAGGTACGTCCGGGGAAGTACCACGACCTCACCACAGAAGGCTGGCGTGGGTAAAAAAGTAAAAGAAAGTGTGGAAGACTCCTGCATTCCGTCTGGTAAGTGAAATAACCAGAGCCCATTTATTGAAAGGTAGCGGGTTTTGCAAATGTCAATGGGCGGCGGTTATCACTTAACGTCAGGTGAACCGCCAGGTCGCTTGCCATCTTGCATAAAAAAGAAAGACTAATAAGAGCAATCCTATTACGGAGCAAAGACAGTTGCATCGATTTAGTTTTTTTTTTTCCCCTCTGAGAAAACCAAAAACTCGTTCAATACAAGGAGGAGATTCTTAAAAAACTTTCGCCGTATTACAAAACTTCTTTCCACCGTTATGGCCATTAAATCACTTGTCTTTTTGTCGCGTCGCGTGGGGTCCGAACAACACGTGGGACAATAGAGCCCCACGGAACAACCCTCCTTCTGAAAGGCCAATATCGGATGACACGTCTCGCCCCTAACGCTCCTTTCAACGCGGATTAAATAAGGGCGAAGGCGTTCGGCCTCGGGGGTCCGGTTGCGCTGGTGGGCTGTCTCCAACAGCTGTTGAAAGCCCGGCCGAGTCTTTTGAAGTTGTTTAGTTCACAAGTAATAGTTTACGTGATCTCTTTGAACACATGTAAGTTCTTTTTTTTGTGTTTCTCCAGCGGTGTGCCGGGAAGAAGTTCTCATTACGACGATCGCAAAGAAAACTTGATGTGCCAAACGAGAAACGTATCCTTGCAACACACTCGCAAGCGGAACACCTATAAAAAGAATTTTCTCTGCTTTTAAAACACGTAACGACCTCTGGCACACTTTGAATAGTTTTTTATGAAATGAAATTTGATGGTATATAAATAAAAATTCGATCCATCAGCAACTTAAATTTTAATAACGCTATAGGAAATAAATTACGATCCTAGTTCCTTCGGCATGATCACAATCCTTCATATAAAAAGGAACGAAAACACGGTGAAAATTGATGACTCCGTGGACTCCGTCGTGGGTTCGATTCCCACACGGGTCAACTATTTGTGTGACCCACAGATAATTGTTTCGGATCTGGGTGTCGGTCCAAGTGAAATTTATGTTTGTAGAATGTCCTTACAACACAGGTAAATGCTATCCTAAAATAAGAGATGTTTTAAAAAAAATTAACCTCAAGGGATTCAAGTCATTCAGTCTGCATTGCAAATCTCGCTATTATAATAATGTTTTAATAATTACAAACACATGCACATGCGCACACACACACATAAACATGGAATAAATCTTCGAATTAATTCGGCCTCAACGATTCGCGACCCCTGATAAATCCGCGAACAACAAAGGAGCCGACCCCTTTAGGCTCAATTCACACTAAGCTGCGCGCATTCAATTCAGGGATACTATACACTTTAGTAATAAAGATAAGGTTTAAAGTGCTGTATATGTGAAATCGCTCGCCGATGTACTGGCAGCGCTGCTATATTTGTGTGAATTGAGCCTTATTCATAAAAAATCCCAGCATATTGCGCAACGGTTCAGTGGAGCTTTCACAGAAGCCCGTTCCGATTCCCATGGCACTACAACCCAAATCCCGGGAGCGGGGCAAATCCCGGAGACGGACGAATCCCGGGCGCCGCGTCCCCCGTCGCGCCGCTCGCTCAGAAAACATCCCATTAAGTAATTTTTTCTGCCCAAATCTAATGCCGGGGGTTGCGTACCGTGTGCATCTGTGGGATCGACGGATAGCGGTGTCCACGCGAATGCATCACCTAAAGTCTGGTATGAGGGCATATATTCGCATGGACGGGGTAGCGGCTGGGGAGTTGGGTCATCCCTAGGATAAGAATAGCGATTTTCAAGGACAAGTTTCCGTTGGGGCCGCCGCAATTAACGTGCTTCGATGTGCATTCAGTTTTAGATTTGTAATGGCCCGTAAGCTTGCAGTTAGTTGGATCAAATAGGAGTGACTAAGGGGCTGATAGACAGTCTATGGTTTAAGAAATGTGTGTACTTACGTACGCACGTAAGAAGTTACACTTTTCAGCACAACAATAGAAAAATAACGGCAATCTTTATCCCTTGTGTCATTACTCTTTGTTTCTGATAATCAAAAAAGTTCTTAATGTATTTTAAAATCTATAAAAAAAGTAACAAAGACGCTGTGAATAAAATCAGGTATGAAATCTCCCGCATGAGAACTCTTCACTGAAACACAGAAACTCACTATTTAGCATAGCAATAAAAAAATAACTAAATATTTATCCCTTGCGTCAGTCATTAATCTTAGTTTCTGATAATAATTAGAAAACCCTTAATATATTTTAAAATCTATAATATTAATAACAAAAACGCTATGAATAAAATCAGGTGAGAAATCTCTCGAATGACAACTCTTCGCTCAGAGACAGAAATACACTTTTTGAACGCTTTAAATTCCACTGCACTCGGCAAAGGATTCCCGGGCCCTGATTCAATCCGGCTATTCAGTGTTCGGCGTCCAGCTCACCACGACCTTCCACGTCCCCCTAAACTTAGGAGAGTCAAGGCAAAAAGGGGGGCTCGGGAGCTTCCCTGCAGGTCTGCGCCGACTGGTCGAGGGACAAAGGAGGTGCGAAAGGGGTTTTGAGTAAACACTCTTTTGTTAAATGGACTCATGGTTCGCGGAGCGTCGCGCAAATAGATTATGTTGTAAGCGTTGCCCCGACTGCGGGAGACGTCTGATTCCACAGCGACCTCCTTGTCGGCTGGAACGGTACGAGTTTTAATGGATTTTGTAGCGACCTTCTCGCTGGATGGAAGGACAGTTAAACTCTGTACAAAAGCGCGGGACATTTCTTTTTCTATGACAAACTGGCTGATTTGAAGCATCAACCAGTTCTAAATGTTAGAGCAAACTGTGATGCAGCGAAAGATGGTAAACGCATAATAAAAAAAATCACGAATGCACGAAGGGTTCCGTACATTATCGATAAAAACGGCAAAAAAAATCATGTCTGTTGTAAAGCCCCACTTAAATATTTTTTTATTCTATTTTTTAGCATTTGTTGTTATAGCGGCAACTTAAACACATCATCTATAAAAATTCCAACCGTCTAACTATGACGATTCATGAGATACAGCGTGGTGACAGACGGACAGACAGACAAACAGCGGATACTTAGTAATAGGGTCCAGTTTAACTTTTGGGTACGGGACCCTAAAAAGTTGAAGAGAGATCTTATGTTAAATTGTTATATTTCTAGTAAATTATTATATTCCTTTGATTTAAAAATTGTACACGATTCCCCTATCCCCGCCGTTCAAGTGCAGGGATTCTATTATATAAAAGCATTTTTTTATCCGTGTGTTTGTTAACTATGCCTGTAAAACACATGATCATATCAATCCAAACTGTGCTTATAAAAAGGAACTCTAGATGGTGCTTTGCCTTTTATAATGTCGTTTTACACTTTTGTTAAACAGGCAATAGTTCCCATTGTAAAAGCAACAAATGAAAAATCTACTAATTATATATTGTGACCAATAATTTAGACCAAGTATAAACTACTGACTTCATTTACGTAGACTTTACGTATCACATAACAGTCTTATTTCAAATAAATTGTCTCTAACAATTTTAACAAAAAGTTTCAGTAAATTAAAATTCTTTTTCTTTCTTCTTAAGTTTGCCCTCACTTTAGGATAACACTATCCTGTGTTGGGACGTTTTACAAACATAAATTTCACGTGGACAAACACCCAGATGCGAAACAACTATCTGTACAAAATCCACGTAATTGGTTTACTGTTTACAATCTTTATTGATCTAATATTTACAAGATTAAATCTTTCTAAAATTACATATTATCTAATAAACCTAATCTACGCGGCATGGTGCCAAGAACGCTAGCTGCAAAGGGTTAGATAATATGTAATTTTAGATAGATTTAATCTTGTAAATATTAGATCAATAAAGATTGTAAACATTAAAAAAAATAAAAAAATGGTTTACTATTGACCAATCAAGCCTGGATTATGGTGCATATTGTAATACTACTGTGCCGTGCCTCTTTGTGAAAGAAATCGATTTTAATGGTCTACTTATATGGAACTTTAAGTATATATAATTACTTAAAATAATAGTATAATCTATATCGTAATTATGGATCCGTAATGCAACCAAGGCGACGCTCAGAAAACCCCACACTACCATAAAACGTCACTACACAATCAACAGAAAGGTATAAAGTGCAACCATTACATAATGCGAAAGCATCACCTACTACTACACAGGGAATAGGGCTGACAAAAACTAAAGATGTGTCAAGAAATGTTTTAAATTGACTGTAGACAAATATAATGTATTGTACTGATATATTAAAATGGGACCACTATTTCAAAATTTACACCGATTTTAACATACTATTGTTATTAGCTTGAGAAATGTTCAAAACTATCTAGTAATGACATCCAACGGAATTTGAAACTCACCAGGATCGCTTTCTTTTTAATAATATTCCGCTGACTCGGTTTAAACTCACCTTGCATTAACGTAGAATAGCCATATAAATCCGATAGCAAATAAAAAAGGGTCTCCTCATCTTTACACTTACTGGTTGGACAAAGTCAGCAACAGCTAGATAGCTGTTGCAGACTATGGTATAGATATGCCATATTTCATTGAGCATACATATGCTGGTATATATAAGTGCTGAGTTTTTTGCTTCACATCGAACACAAGGTTAGGTTTACTATCTGCATGTATAGAATCAATAAAACCGTTTAAAAACTTTTAAGTTAAACGGTTTTATTTTCTGTTTTTTTTTTTTTTGTGCACTGAAAACTACAATATTGTATTGTCATCTAAATTAAATGTGTGTACCAAATTTCAGATCAATCTGACAATGGGAAGGTGCTTAAATTTCAATTTCTAGTTTTGACCCAAATAAACAAATAAATTCCGTACGTGTCGAGCTAAATAAAACCGTTTAAAAATATGCACATAAACAAACAAATATACGTAATTTATAAAAGCACTAAGTTGATGATAATGTTATTTGAAATCAGATTGGTGGCGATGTTTGTAGTCAAAATTTCGGTTACCGTACAATTGCGTATGTATAATAACTGCGACAACCCTATTGGGGGTTGCAGCTGATGTGAACAGGGCATTATTTACAAAACATTTCGCGAACGGCGCAGCAAGCGCCGCGGCGGGGCGTTCGCCCTCCGACATTGTTATTACCGATTAGGGCTGTCATTCACACCGCAAGCGGGTACGGCCCACAGTTGTATGTTTAAAATTTTGTTATTAAATTATTACATAGGTATTATTTTTAGATAAGAAACTCCTAGCTAATAAATTTTTACGCTTTTAATCGCGTCATTGTTCGATACACTATTATTCAAATAATATAATTCATGATATGAGAAATATATATAATTCTCATCAATTTTTTGGGGGGGTCGTCCTACACCGCAATGGCCATAACAAAATAAATGGAGGAAAAACTAAAATCTACCGGGTGCCAACCCTAGCGCGCCGCCGCCAAAGAGCTCACGTCTCCCCATACGTGCGCGAATTAAAACTTTCGCGAGGGGGCGCCCTCTACGGCCGCGTGGCGCACGAACCGGCGGCAAGTGCTGCCACACACTGCAACGTGGGCTAATTACTCCTTACACGCCGGATTACCAGCTGCCACTTCACGGACTATTATCGCTCAGGGCTTGCACAAACAGCGACTAATTTTCACTGCGGCCCGATGACAATGCGAGTGAGCGTAGCGTCTCACTTATGCAGCCGGTTTCCTCTTAACACGATGTTTTTAGTAAAGCATGATGTAAGTTGCTACACACGGTATTACCAACTCTTACTTGGTACGGACTGATATCGCTCAGGGCTTGCACAAATGAAAAAAAAGTACCGTACGCTGATATAGGCTAAATATTGTTATCTAAATATGTATTCTTTTTGTAGACTAAAGTATAAAAATAAATGTCAAGATTTTTATACGAATGTATTCTATCCGTATTCTACGTCCTTTTCATAATATAAGCCTCCCCTCCCCCAGCCTCTCGCTCAATCCACAGTAAACATCCCCCCCCCCCCCCGACCAGCCCTTAAACCAATCAAAACTTTAATTATGAAACGGCCAGTGAGCGAAATCTCACAGCGAAAAGGGTGTATAATGAAAAAGAAAAAAATCACCGCGGCAGTGGTATCGATTTATTCCCCATTTTTAATTATAGGAATGTAGGTCGGCCGGCGGCAACCGCACTCCAGCGGTTGAATTCCGCGCAGACAATTAAAGCACGACGTGGCAACTTTTTTACCTTTATATAACTGATATTTTCGCTTTCTGTCCGTACTACCCAGAACCTATGACGTAGATAAGGCCCTCCGCGTTAGTTTGGGCCCCCTGCATCCCCACTGACCAAGTTCCCATGTTGTCACATCAGAGGAACTTAGTGGCCGTGGCCTGGTCACCCACTGTGAAGCCAAGAGCAACCCACAATGGCTGGCTTGTGGTGTAAGGCCGGCCCAAGAGGGCTGCACCGAGCGCGCTTTACAGGTGCAGAATTGGAGCCACTTTCCCTGTCTTCTGCAACCATAGTGAAGGTCACGAGGGATGAGGAATGTTGGTATTGCTTTTGGTGTTCTCCCTATCCTCCGCGATTGTGTGAGGCGGCAACACTGATGTGTTTTTTTTATGTGAAAAGTTGCCAAGCGAGCAGGCGGGTCACCTGATGTTAAGTGAATACCGCTGCCCATGGACATCTGCTGCACCCGAGGGTTAGGTTAGCAGCAGTTAGGCCGTAGGATGGGACAAATGTCAGTATATACGCCATTCTCACTACACTCCGCCGCGGAAAGTGGGTACGTACGGATTATATCGAGTAAATAATAAACAGGCTAAATAAAACTGTTTTTTTGAAATAATTTCAATATGTGAATCCGCGTCACAAATCGCCAACCACGCAAATCGCTACCATTTCCAAAATGTCATCAACACACGAACAGCCGTACGCGAAGCTCCGCGAGTTCTGCGAAGTTCAATCTTAATGACTTAATGAGAGTCACTTGTTAAAAAAAAAAACAAAGATTTCACGCCTTCGAGTTAAACTGTAATTTGCGTCTCTGAGTACGTCAGTAGCCCTTTTTTAGACATCATCACAGTACCCTTACAGTAGGTTTTCTAGGCTATATCCTACATCTTTATTCAAATACAGTTCTTTTGCAAATTTAAACAAATTATTTAAGTGCCGTGATAGCTCAGTGTCCGGGCGCTCGCCTTTAATTCAAAATACTCGAGCAACCTGAGTTCGATCCCCGGTGCCGGCACCAATGAAGTTTTTAACTTTAAGTTCTGTCTTATCACGTGCTCCGCGGTGAAGAAAAACATCGTGAGGAAACCTGCATATTTTCGAAATAATAACAAAAAAAATATTTTTCGAAGATATGTGAAGTCCGCCAATCCGCAGTGGGGCCGCGTGGTGGACTATGCCCTGATACCCTCTGTATAGAGGAGGCCTTTGCCCAGCAGTTGGACATGTATAGGCTGTTACTTTACTTTACTTTAAACAAATTATTTAACCAATCAATATGAAAGTAACGCATTCTAATAAAGCATCAGCACAATAGGACAATATTTAAAATAGTAAATAGTTCATGCTTCCACTCACCAACGTTATAATAGATTGATATATGTATTTAATTAAAATACGCTCGGAAGCAAACTGCAAAAGCAATACTTTTTACGCTCCAAATATGAAATTCGAAAAACACTGATGAAATGGACGCATTCATAAAATCACTCACGCACACACGAGCGTTTTTAAAGATATTATATTTTTTATAGAAATAATCCTCGAACGAATAAATAAAACATCATCCGTGTCGAAATGCAAACAAGCCGAAAGGGACGGATAATGCGCGAGTGGCGAAGGCGTGAAAGAGAGGTCGCGATCGCGTGTCAACAATGAGGTATAGAGTTCGTGCAGTAACATGAGTATTGAATGGAATACATGGACGAACGTAAAAATTCGTTCGGACAACCGTTTGCCGTTTCATTTTCTACCTTATACACTCGCACTAAGAGCGAGGCGATGACGAGGTGGTCGCAAACGGCGCTGCACCGCATCTTATGTCGTTGACTCATTCATTAGAATAAGATATTTGATCTAGACGGCGTTACGGGCCTAGGCATTATGTTCGCGAGGCGTTTGCCTGAGCGGGCGATGGATTTATGCTATTATGAATATCGAAGCGAAAGGTCGACGATAAATTAGCGTTAAGGCGCGACTGGGACGCTCACGCCGAGGAGTGTTAAGATTTATAGACGTTATGCTAATGTTCGAAAGCTTTTCAAAAGAAATACGTGATGCCTGCTCAGATCTAACTTTGAATTTTTGTTTGGAAACTCGTTCGTTGAGGATGCGGTAAGACACCCAGCGAACAGATTAAGATGATAAGGCAAATATAGAGTGCAGTAAAATTATTTTCTAATGAATTTACTTCATTATTAATGAATTAAAAATTAAAACAACATTAAAACACTATAAAATAAACGTATACTAGTTTCATTTAACATATTTTATATTTGCTTAAAATCAAAAGATAAATATAGGATTTCGTTAAGTTTCATATTAAGTTAATTTATTTCTCTTGATTAGTAAACGTATATAACGTTTAGTAATCAAGAGAAATAAATTATGCTTATATCGGGTACTTTTTAAAATTTATTTTTCACTAAAAAGTGTATTTTGTTTCCTATGTGCATCTTAACATTACCCAGAAGTAAAAATAAATTACACAATTAACTTATATACTAACTGTACCGCTGTCTGTCTCTCCGTCTTTCCAGGCTGTATCTCATGAACCGTGATAGTTAGACAGTTGATTTCACACATGATGTATTTCTATTGCTACTACAAGAACAGAAAAGAATTTAAGTAAAAAAAATATTTAAGAGGGCCTCCCATACAACAGATATGATTTTTTTTACCGTTTTTATACATAGATACGGAAACCTTCGTCCACGAGTACGACTCACACTTGACCCGTTTTTTTCCGGTTTTCTTGCCCGACATTACATAATTAACTTTCAGAGATACGATTTGTCGATCATAGTGAGAGATTGAATTGCACAGGTAACTAAGCCATCAGCAGTCTAAGGTTGTATCGTCTATGGTGTTAAAAACCGTATCTTAATAAAAGTATATCGTTCACCGTTTATATAAATATCCCACGCTTGGGAAAATGCCTCCGCTGTACAACACGGACCAAGTGTTGCACCTCGCTTCGATATATACGACTATTATTTTGAGGACCCGTATTACTTATAACGGAAACTCGTTAAATATGGGCTATAGAAAAAAGAGAATCGATACCTTATTCATCGAGGTGCACGGGATAATGGACTTTACGGTCCTACCGCGCCTCCTTAACCCGGCGCCTGCTAAACGTTACTGGATATTAAATATTCATAAGGTGTTCTCGTAAATCAGGCCCTGAGTGGCGGCCGATCGCCAGGTTATCGCGCTCTAATGGGTGGCGAGAAAGATTATGTGGGAATTTATCGATAGTGCGGACGAAAACTCTTGGCGTGGATGACGGCAAAAACTCATGGTACAACCTCAGTGCGATACGCTTCGTGAAAAAATCCGCTTACCGAATGTAACTATGGTTATAATAATAGGCTCACGTAGCAGCCTCGGCTGTTGCACGAATGGGCAGGCTCGTCCGGGTAAGTATCACGACCTCACAGAAGACCGGCGTAAAGTGGAAGTATAATACTTTCACGTTTCGTATGGTGAGTGAGGTGGCCGGAGCCCAATTTTCAAAAGGTTGTCAACGCATCTGGAACCCCCGGGTGTAGCAGATGTCCATGGGCGGCGGTATTCACTTAACATCAAGTGAACCGCCTGCTCGCTTGGCAACTTTTCACACAAAAATATGTCACAGCTATAACACTAAATACTAAAACACAGAATAAATATATCTGAGGGGGGCTCCCATACAACAGACATGATTTTTTATCCTTTTTATAGATAACGGTACGGAACCTTTTTTATTTCTCACACTTTACGAGATCCACGACCACGAGACGGATTGAATTTGACATCCTCATGTTTCTATCTCATTTATTTATCCGATCATTGGCGAATTTAAAGTGCATTAACAAAACACCTATGTATCGACCGAAACGTAAGTACGCGAGAACTTTTCTCACACGTGACACAAGATAGGAAGTAATGAGAATAAGGCAAGAACTGCGCAACATTATGCAGTGCGAGACGTGAGCGGCACCCAAGTCGGATCGCGTGTCCCTCTCACATAACACGTGCTTCGTGAGATCTTGCAATGTAGTAGAGTGGTATTAGGGGTCCCCCAGGGGTCCCTCCCTCCATTCCGCGTTCTTGATAAACGCTAGGGAGTAATTAAGAAAGGCAAAGGTTTTAGTCCTGCCTTCCACTACAGCCGGACGACCTGACTGCCTCAATTATTTCGCCGTTGCAGACCTGATTCACTTTTTGCAATGACTTCTATAGGGATGGAGTAATTCGCCAACGTCCTTTCAACTTCTTTTCGCCCGAAGACGCAGTGTTCACGTTTTGAAATAAGAATGACCTATGGCTAAATCGCTACTTACGTTAGTGACCAAAA